CTTCCGAGCTGCATCGCCCTGCCGGCTCCGCCCGGCCTCTGCCCGCCTCTTGGGCAAGCGGCCCCTTCGCTTCTGCGTTTTCCTACTCGCATGCCGTTGCTTGTTCTCACAAGCCGGGCGTTTTACTTGGTCCCGAGTGAAAACGAGCGCGTCCTCTTCCGCAGCGTTACGTAAGCGTTGCGAGAAGTGGTTGCTCGCCAGTGTTTTCTCCCCTCAGCCACGAAAAGGGGGTTGGGTTGACTTATCCATAACAGCGAGTTACAGCTTGTTGTTGTTTCAGGTTTTGGGTTACGCCGTTGCTTGTTCTCACAAGCCGGGCGTTTTACTTGGTCCCGAGTGAAAACGAGCGCGTCCTCTTCCGCAGCGTTACGTAAGCGTTGCGAGAAGTGGTTGCTCGCCAGTGTTTTCTCCCCTCAGCCACGAAAAGGGGGTTGGGTTGACTTATCCATAACAGCGAGTTACAGCTTGTTGTTGTTTCAGGTTTTGGGTTACGCTCCTGACTTTGTCTCCGCCGCAGTGGCTCCCTACATAAAAGACCTTCACAGGAAAGGTACGCCGCTCTTCGCGCGAGTGCGTATGTTCGTGACGTTCAGTCGTCGTTTGGATGTGTTTTCCTTAGTGCGTCTTAACTAGAAGCAGCTGCTTTCCACCCCGCGTTTTGCTCTTCTCTGAGAATAATATTTTAAACACCAGCAGAAGTCTCATCCCTGATTTTGACAAGTGCGAAGTGGAAATCTAGTGGTAACACTTGAACTGGGTCAATTTAAAATGCTTGCCTGTAAGTATAAACATACACGTATCTCCATGTAATTATTATTCTAGCTTTAATTCGGGAGTGGAAGATAACTTTGTCTGCGAATCTTTGCGTTGAAAACGTCTGAAGTCTGTTTTGACAAACTAAAAACTTGTCAACGTTCCCAAATAGTTCTAGCTTTTTATATACAAACGTTACTTATTTTCTGCTCACTTATTTCTCTTGCCATTTATATTAGTATGTTTTCGTAGCTCACTCAGTTTGAAAGGAAAAAGTGAATTATTTCTCCTAAGCTTCCAATACAGTCTGCAATTTATATATAGATGCATAGATCTGTTAAAATGAAGTAGTATGAAGAGCACAGCTGCTCTGAACGACCAATGTCAAACGTTGTGGTTGTGGGAACTGTTGTGACGCTGTCTGTTTTATCCTCATCATGTCTGTGTCTCTTCAGTTACTTTCCATACGTGAAGAGATGGTGTATAAATGCAAGATGATCTATAGCAATTATTTTGCTGTATAACCCTTCTACAGCGACTCAATCCTTTTATTTCACAGTATAATGCAGGTTGATACTTCAATGTAATTTTAATGCGCTACGTGATTAGATGTCTGACACCTTGCAGAGGTGATGTCTTGCTTGTGTTTCTGCATGCTTTAAGTGTCTGAAATACAGATGATTGTTAATGCTGCTGAACTTGGCTTGTCTTTTTTGTTTAGGTGTTCGCGTCATCAGTAATGCCGGAGGAATTAACCCACTTGCTTGTGCGGCTGCCCTTCAGGAGGTGGCAAAGAAAGCAGATGTTGACTTGAAAATAGCCGTTGTTGCTGGAGATGACCTAATGAGTGAGGTATTTTACTTTGTCTTAAGGCTTAGTAGAATTGTGAAAGTTCTTTTCTATAGCAAAAGATGGCATTTATTATCCAATGAGAACTTCTTTTGTGCATCTTTATGCAGTATCTTTCTACTGCTAAAAGCATCTAAAAATTGCTGCTTCATTTTGGTTTTTTTTTTTTTAATGCATGAAAATAATCTTTGACACATTTTGTTTGGTGTGTAAAGGGGTGAATTTCGTTCTCAGTCTGCTGCTGTGTACCTTTTTGAAGCAGACTTTGAATCCCTGATTTAAAGTCTTCTCTCTCTTCAGGAGACTATAGGATGTGCTGTTACTTACTGCTTCTGTCTAAACTAAATAATAATGCCTACCTAATCTCTTAAACTAAGATGTGGTGTAGTTACCACGTATTCCAAGTGTTCATGCCTCCTGGCTGGTTTTAGTAGTTTGCACTCATTACCTGCTGTTACTTTGCTTATATCCAGTAAGGTAGCTTTAAGTGGGAGAGCTGAAGTTTGAATCTCTTCACAGAATTTGAAATCTAGAGAGGAAGTGTGTGGCTTTTTTTTGGTCTTATTTTAAAGGACTTTCATTCCTGTATAAAATCTGTTTCTGCAAAAAATGTTGGGCATACCTGAAAAGATACCATGAAAACCATTCTATGCATTGGTAACATTTAAGAGGTGATAGGTTTGAGCTACAGTTCAATCTCTGCCTGCAACTTGACAAATTATTAATTTCCATAGACTCTGATTAGTCCTTGCATGGGATTGAGTACGGAAGAAGTTTGAATAAACTTTTCTTCACAAATTATGTGCAATACTTTGACTTTCTTTCAAGAAATGTTTGTCCTATTGAAATTAGCGTAACATCAGTGGTCCAGTAGTTCATTACTGGTATGATGGTGGAATGGTTGTTATTTGAGCTTGGCATGGATATCTCCGATCTGAAATGGATCGTTTTCTGTGTTATTGTCGGTACATAACTGATATGAGCAAAATACAGCTTTAGAGATAACTTTATAGTTTTGACACCAAAAATCATAAATGACAGTAGGAAATGTTATTTGTAGTTTTGAAGATTTCAGTCCTTACCCATAGTATACTAAATTCAATAGAAACAGAAGGATTTTTTTAATGCTAGGTTACCAGCTAATTATCATAGTGATAACGGTGGTGGAAAATACTTGGAGAAAAGGTTGAAGGTAAATACACTTTAAAAAACAATTTTTTTAAAAAATTAATGTTATCAAATGATCTCAAAAAGAAAGATCAGCTGTCAGAAAAGTTGTCAAGGTGCTATGAATATTCCAGGTCAATATGTTGAGAAGTGTCCAGGAAAAGTTCTACTATTTATAAAATGTCAACTATTCTCTAACCTGATTGATGCTCTGTTAGGAGTTGCCGAATCTGGTAGTCTGATAGAGGTGAGGCTGCTGCAGCTCCATGTCCATAAGTCCAACCACTGGCAAGGCTGAGCATGTATTTCTCATAGGTGCATGTGCACACTGTATATGTTCGTGTGTGTGTATATATATATGCACACAAACACACATAGATGTGTATAGAAACATACACACATGTATATACAGGTGTGCATATATGTGTTAAGTTGCATATACACCCATCTACACACGCACACACAAATTAGGCAGACACACAAGCCAGTCACATGGTTCAGCGCATACAGAAGAGACAATACTCACGCAAACACAAGCAGCATGAGTGACCTAATCTGTTTCCCATCTCCACATGATCACGATAAAAGCTCACTGGTGGAAAATATATACAATATGGATGATCCCTCTAGTAGCTGGGCTCGGACACTCAGTCTGTCCAATAGCTGGCCCTTAGATCCACCTGGTCTTCCCAGTTACTAGCACCTGGGCGTGTGAGCTCCCAAGGTCTGCAGCCCTGCTCCAGCTGCTGGTTCTCAGACCTTCACGCTCTGTCTCGTGCATGCATGTATGCTCTAAGGACCCTGCCAGAAAGTAGCCCTAGACGTTGGGTCAGTCCAGTTGCCTGCCTCTGGATCCCCTAGTCTGCCCAGTTGCCTCATGCACAGACAAACACACTCGCGTGCAAATAGGTCTTTCTGGTAACAAGGTGTACTGTGGAAAACAGCAAAGTGTTGCCTGGAGCTATAGTATTAGCCTTGTTTTCTGGCCGTGCAACCGTTGCTGTTACAGCAGACATGTTTTTTTGGTGTGGTTTGATTTATTCAGTTCTACAGGAATTAAAGACAGTTTGAAACCCTAAAGAATATATCCGCTCGTTGTGATTGATCATCTGTGAATGCACTTGCATTCTTTAAAGACTGATTTCTTTTTCAGTGTGCAGGAACACTATGATTAAAAGTGTGTCTAAAGCTGCAAGTTGTTGAACTGATTTGTATTTTGTTTTGAATTCCAACAATTATGCTTTTCTTAAGAGTTGCTACAAAGTGGATCTGTTGTCTGAAATCAATAAAAGGTTTACAGTAAATACTACAAGATATTCATAGACTTGAGTTTTGTTTTTTCTTTTAATAGAAAGAGAACCTGAAAGGAGCTGGTATCACTGATTTAGAGAGTGGCAAACAATTTCCAGAGAGCGTTCACAGCATGAATGTGTACCTTGGGTGAGTTACGTAAACAAGTTGTTTTTATTGGGGTGGGAGGGAGAGTAACATATTGACTACGTGACATGATTTTGATTTGTAGGTAGAACAACCTAGTATTTAAAGTTGTCCATTACATAATTAAAGCAAACAGAAAAAATAAATTTATTTCCTTTATTGCTTCTAAATAATTTTCTAATTTAGAACTTTGCCAGTTGTGCCTCTTTAGCATGACATCTCCTGAGACTCTTCAGGTTTTAGTTCAAGCTAAAATCACTAGTTTAATTATAACAATCCCCCAAATCCCTTTGCATATGCAGAGTATCCTATCACTTCATGGAGCGGGGTTGTTCAGGATTGTCATCCCTAGAGAAACACAACTCGGGAGCTGAGGTACCCTGACACGTGATGAATGCTGTAGAAGCCTGCAGTATGTCAGGCTGATTTGTGTGTCAGATTTTGTGCTTTTGAAACTCTGGAGGCTGCCTTTTTGGAACAGATGACTGTTGTGAAAGACGTTAGGTGCTCTCTTCAAAATACTGAACACCTCCTGACAACCTCTTAAGTGCGAGTGTTCTAACTGCCTGTTTGTGAATGGTGACATTGCAAGTGCAAATTATGACATTTGCATTGTCGTCATCAGTTTCCTCAGAGGAATCAAGGTAAATCAAGTTTATCAAAAGTGAAGGACTGAGAAATGGCCAAGAGTCAGGCATTCCCAAAAGCTAGCATCTCTTCCAGTTGACAGTCCTGGTGATCCTGCTTTTGCTTTTTCACCCTTTATGCCCTATATACCATCCCTTCTGTATTTCTTTTCTGTGTATTTCTTAAGTCCCTACACACAGCACCCCTTAATTATTACATTAATCTTTTTTGGGGAAAAACTGCCCTGCTCTCTCTTGTGTCACTGTCACGGCAATTTCTAGAAATGCATCACTGGCACGTGGCAGGGTATGACTGTACCCTAATCTAATACAAAATATGTTTTTCTCTATAAAACAAAGATCTTCTAATAGCTTACTCTTTCGATTTGTATTTAGTGTTTCCTGTTATAGTTGTTACTAGATTTTCTGTTTGTTAATCTTTGATTCACAACATTTGTGGATCATAAGTAACTGAGGTCTAAGAAATAATGATTAATATTTATAACCGTAAGAAAGTGTTAACTCCAATCTTGAATGAGTCATGTTTTATTCATGATTTAAAAAAATAAAAAAGTCCAACTCAAAGCAGAGAGGACAAAAGCAGACCAGTTATCAGGATAATGCATTCTAAAATTCTGCTTCTGCTCAGCTTTGCCAACAAGTGCTACAACAGCAGAGAAAGGAGAGTCTTGCTCTTTATTTTCTAATGCAGTGAACATTTCTTTATGGACTGCTTATTCTTGGATGAGTTGAAATGCAAAGCTACTACCAGTCCTTTAGTCCTTTTAGTTGTACTTCATAAGTTACATTTTTCTTTGACATCACCAGCAGTGGAGGCTTATTTGTAAAGCAAAGGGAAATTTATATATGCCTGTAAAACAATTTGAAATCATAACGTACTGGGTAAAATCTGTAAGTTCTGCAGATTGATCTGGTTTTTTTTAATTCCTTAAGTCAGGTGATGTTTACAGTTTGAGAGGGTGGTTGGTTGGTTGTGGTTTTTTGTTGATTTATTTTTGATTCAGAATGTAAACTCCACCTGAAGAATTTGCATTGAGATGTAGATTCTGAAGTGTTTCTTCTGTCCCTCCTGATTTGGACTATTATAAATTTTGCAGACTGAACTCATGTACATCTTTAATAATAAGATCCAGACTGCTGCTACACTTAGTGACATATACTACTTTTTTAAAGGTAGTTATGCAGTTGCTGTGTCACTGTCCTGCATATTTGCATGCAGAAATCCTATTTATGCTGCTTACCAGTGACTGTTACTTCACACTGTGCTCAGAGGTATAAATTCTTCTGGTATACTGCATATATGCTTATTTATCTGGCTAATATCCTTTAGTCTATGTAGGATTGGCTACATATGTATTTATTTACCTTGTAGGTTATTTATATCATTAAGATAATTTCTGTGCATTCTAACCTTTTTCTTAACAAGAGCAGGACTAAGTCTCTTTATAGAAACTTAAGAACAAAATCAAGATTTTTCTAAAAAGCACCCAAATAATGTGGTGTGTGTTTTCAAGCTGCCTATTTCATGAAGAATAGAAGGATCCAGTACAGAGCATGGGTTTAGAGGCCAGGAGACGCGCGTTCTGGGCAAAGATTTTTTACTAACCTTCTGTGTAAACTTGAGCAGTTCACCTGGATGAATATTTTCAAGCACTGCTAATTCTGACTGGGCTAACTAATCTGGAATATCTGTTGCCTCAATTTCTTCAAAACTAATTAGTTTACAATGCTCTTCTTTAGAGTGGTGGATGTTATTTTTAAAAACACTCACTGTGTATACAAAATGACTGGTTGATCGTTAATTTATGTGATCAGGACATGTAAGTGATTTTTATCCTATCTGTGGCAAGCAACTGGTTTTTAAACGGCATTTTAAAAAGTGAGAACGCACATTGTTTTATTTTGTCATCTTCAGAGCAAGACCAATAAGCAGGGCTCTTGACCTTGGAGCTGATATTGTTGTGACTGGTAGATGTGTTGACAGCGGGATTGTATTGGGACCCCTCATTCATTCAGTAAGTTCAAGTTAATTATCATATGATGCTGAACGTATGGGAATTCAGTAATCATTGTCAGATGTTTCTGCTCCTTATGAAAATAAAGATGCAAAAATAAAAATAGTGAACTCTTAACTTTTTTTTTCTTTCTTTTTTTTTTTTTTGCTTACGTGCATGAAGCTTTACCAACTTTCACTGCTTCTAAATTTATGGCAGGAATATTTAAACATGTATATACCATGAAACTGGAAATCATCTCAATGAAGTTCAGGGAATTTTGCCTTGTCTTACCAGGATTTCGCTTTTAACTTCTTCCACTTTCAAATTTAGTGCATAAGGCTAAGAAACATATAATTTTCTTTACCACAAGGTGGCGCTTGTAGATCTCGTTTTCTTTTAGGGGAAAAGGCTTGTGAGGTGGTCTAAAACAGTGGCCTTTTTCAATGGGTAAGCAGTTTTATTTGAAGAAGTTGAGTTTCAGTGTGACGTTTTTCAAATTCTTTCAGTTTCAAGAAATAATAAAAGGCAGGGTATGTGGTTTTCTGCAGTGTTTTTAATAGCATGTACACCTTTTTGAATGACCACACGTTGTGGAACATTCAAGATTTCTTTTGGTACACATTTACAAATATACTGGGATACGTGTTAATGTCTAGTTACAGATGTCCTTTCTAAAACTTATTACTTATTTGACTTCATGCATATAAAATACTGTATAATCTCTAGTTAAACTTCCCCTCTTATAATTGCCGTTATGACTTCTTATTCTATTCCTATCTATTTATATACTCAAAACAGTTGCCAGCATATATTATTTACTCTAGAGAGGCCTCATCTGTTATTTATGTCTTATGGTGGATTCTGTTAAATCCTAAGTAAGAAACAAGGAATATATTGTTTGCGTTACATTGAACTTATAAAAACAATCTGTAGTTGCACGGACCAGTAGTGATCCAGGAACTGATAAATTTCAAAAATTGGGAAAATAGTGCTTTGTTTATGTGGCACAACATATTTGTTAGATATTTAACCCTATAGTATATGCAAGTTTTGAAGATTTTGAAAGTCGTCCGTTTAAAGTATTATGAAGAGGATGAGACTTTGAGAATTTATTTTAGTTTGGACGTATTAATAAGAGGAAAACTGGAACACATCGGAACTCTTTTACTCTCTTACAGTGTAGCAACTCAAATCCACCTGCAGCTCCTACCAACTAGTTAGATTGTTGTTCAGATTTCTGCAGTTACTTAGAAAATATGTACAATGTGTTGTTGCTCAGAGCAGTGAACATACTATATGCTGTTTCCTGTATTGTATAAAATGTTGTATATGTAACATATTTGTATTTTTCTTCTAGTTTGGCTGGAATAGGGATGAATTTGACTTATTAGCTGCAGGAAGGTAAATGATATAAGAGGAAATGGGTAAAATTATGTTCGATATCAAATAACATCAGAATGACAGATCTTTAATGTGCAAAATCCCTAAGTGCTCGTATTACTGATTTCATTTGTTGGAATGTTACAGTTAGGCTCACTTAATAATCTGTTGTTGGAACTGAAATCATAAAAACTTCACTTTGGAACGATTTAAAATAACAGCATGAGGGAAAGAAGATTAAACAGCATAACTTTTTCTTCTTGTCCGTTTTGTGTCAAAAGAGGTGAAGTCTTACAGTACAGACCAGTGGTTCCCAGCTTTTCCTATTTGGGCATCACTGTTACTAGTTGAGATGGCAGCAGCTCTTGTCCTCAAACATGCACAGAAGGAAAGATTCAGTCATTGGTCAGCATCCATATATGGTTTTGCAGAAGCTAAGTGTGAGTATCCCCCTTTGCAAAACTAGTTGTAAATCCCAAGGTTAGGAATCGGATGTGGAAAGTACAGGGTAAAAATCTGCTTTATCTAATTTAACTTTCTGCATCACCTTTACTGTATTGAAGTCCATAAAAATGAATGACTACTTAGGTGATCTAAGTGCACCTAGTAGTAGTATTTTGGAGCTCCTATGGCTTGAGAATAAATACGGAAAGAAGTTCTGGCTCCAGTGAATTGGAGATATAGTGAGCAACCATTTGGTTTAGAGAGAGCAGGATTTCTCTCATAGCTCTTTTAAGTATTCAGTATTTACAGAATATGGCAATCAAAGATTTGAAAATCGTAATACGATAGTTCAGGGATGTCCTTCACCTTTTGATTGAGACCTTATAGTTCTTGATTAAAAGTGGGCTTTGCATGTTTAGTTGTTAACAATGCAAACCAACCAGAATACTGAATTTTGATGAAGATTTTTGGAAACGAGCACTCAAATTTTGGTGTCAGATGATGTCTTTTTAGACTGTTTTCACTTTTTTTTTTTTTAAGAAAGTTCATTTGTTCCTTCATGTAGAATTCTAGTTTTTTCAAGCCTTCTTAGGTTAGACTTTCAAAATCCTTAGTCATATTTAGTGCAAAGTTTGTAAACATAGTACTGGATGCTTATGAAAAAAAATTTAGCGTATTCTGTTATTTAGCGTTCTTTTCATTGTACTATAATATTTTCAGGCTGGATTTGTGAAACCTTGTTTTACAAAATACTTAATTATTTGAATGTGTGTCATCTTCCCAGCCTTGCAGGTCATCTCATTGAATGTGGTGCTCAGTGTACAGGTGGAATATTCACTGACTGGCATGCAGTACCCGACTGGTAGGTAACCGTGACATCGGCATGCATGTTTATAGGGAACCAAAGATAAGGTTTCCTGCTATTTCTGTGTTGTGAAATCTGTTTTCACTTTTTATGGAGGAAGAGGGAGGAGGAGCAGTATTTGCCTTTTCATATTTTCCGGCCTTAGAGTTCATTCTCCCTCTTCAAATTTTCCTTTCAGGTCAACTGGAGACTTTGGTAACTTGAAAAGCAGATAATTTGAAACATTTATCAGCCCTTTTATTTTATTTTATTTTTTTCTTCTCTCTTTTGGTGTTTCCTTTTCTGTCGTCTGCTTTTTGGAAAAGTTTATTATAGTTTTTGATAGATCACTATATGTAATGGGAAAGACAATAAGAATATTTTATGTGCTCTTTTGTCAGTCTTCGATTAGATCACAGGCGCCTGTTGTGTAGTCACCACTCTCACATAATTTACTCTGGCAGGAATGACTATATGCCACAGTCCTCTCCTGACATATGACCTGATCTCCATAAGTGCATTGAACTGTCTGTTCATCCGAATACATTACTGTCCTTTCAAAGTTACATTCAGCTCATGTGTCCAGACCTACTGAATTAGACCTCCACAGAGGTAGGTCTCTTTCTGCCTGCTGAAAAAGGCCACAAGGAAGGTCTAGTGTAGCCTGCTTTCAATCAACTTGTTTTTGAATAGTTTAAAAGCAGTCAAGGAACATGTTTTATACAGGATGAATGATTCTGGGTGTGGTTTATTCACATTTTTCATGGGGTGAGAGGGAGGAATCTTGACCGCTGCCTTGTCGTGAGCAAGGCAGTGCTTCCATTATGTGACGAGTGAAGTGCTAGAGGAGGGATGTAAGAGAGAAGAGTGCTTTCATCTGGCCATACGCCTGCTGCCAAGCTGACTCTAGGAAGGAGGCCACTGGGAACAGTCTGTAGGTCAGATGCAGTGAATTAGCAGGACAGCCATGCCCTGTAGACGCGCTCGCTTGCCCCCCGCCCGCCCTTGTAATGGCTGTTGCTAATTCAGAGCTTGATCCCGATATTAGCGCTCCACTTCTGAGTCACTGAACACCGTTGACTTACAGGTGAAGACACGTATTACATGGAAGGGATGAGGGGCAGACGTTTCTCTTCACATATTAGAAGGCCATTACACCGGAACAAACTGCGCTTGCTCTTCATTATCATGTTCAATGGGAATGACAAATGTTAAATGACAAGATTTATAGTTACGAAACATTTTGCTCCGTTCAGAAGTTTATAAGTGCTAATCTTATCCCTGTGTCTGTATCTCTTGATGATTTTATTATGCTCCAACAGACCTTTGATTTGTGAAAGAATGAGGAACCATCCCCCTGTGGTTTTTTTTTTTTTTTTTTTGAAGTACTGGCTTGTTCTTTATTTTTAAAGATTTTTCTGTAAGCAATGACAATCTAGTTTAAAAAAAAAAAAAGGACGTTTGACTGTCTTAAGCCATGGGCTGCTGGAATAAGAATAGGAGTAATTTTACATACACAAATACACATTTATTAGACATGCATAACTAATACTAAGGCATATATATGTAAATCAGAGAGGTGTGTCTAAAATTACAATAGTCTTGTAGCATACAGCTGACTGGTAGTAACTTGAATTGCTACTAACGAGTATAGAGGACGTTTGACTGTCTTAAGCCATGGGCTGCTGGAATAAGAATAGGAGTAATTTTACATACACAAATACACATTTATTAGACATGCATAACTAATACTAAGGCATATATATGTAAATCAGAGAGGTGTGTCTAAAATTACAATAGTCTTGTAGCATACAGCTGACTGGTAGTAACTTGAATTGCTACTAACGAGTATAGAAGATTAGCACTAAATACTGCTCTGTTACCTTATCCCCACCATCTGCATGCACACATTTGAACTGTGCCTGATTTTTATAACAATAATTTATTTACCTTCAGATTAAGTCTGTTGAAGCATTATTGCAGTGCCTTAGAACTGATAAATGTTTTTGTAATTCCAGGAAGTCTCAGGCATTTAATTGATCAAATTCTTGAAATGCAAGCATGGTATTCTGCCCATAGGATTTATTAGTAATGCTTTTCAAAACAAAAACCAAATCATTTTTGAGCTTTAAAATTTTGTATTTGGAGAGGCAGAATAGATGACTTGACTAAAGCAGACTTGTGGTCCAGTGTATTTGCTTGGGATGTAGTGAAAAATTGATTTGTTAGAGCTTTACCTTTTTCTTTTCTTTTTCAAGAAATAGTTGTTTATTATAAATAGGTCCTAGTAAACTAAGGAGAAATACTATGAAAGTTTTTAGGTTGCAGATAAATGGATTTTCGATTTGCTAGCTTTATTAACAGTAGTCTGTTCATTCTTAAGCTAACAAAAAATGGCTTTTTTATTTGAACATTTGAAATTGGTTGTTAATACATGCAGGTTCATGTAATCTTATAATAATTATTCATATTTTCTCAGTAATGATCAAAACACGCAATATCTGCTGTCACCAGTATTGCTTATATTGCCAGTAGGTCAATGGAGTTCTCAAAGAAGATACTCGACTATAGTCTATTAATGATTTTTGCTTAGTTTAGAAAGAGGTACGTTTTTATCAATCTCTTGAAAGTAAGTTTGTGTAATTTAAATCTCAGTAAGTCCTAGTATCTGTGGTATGCAAAATTATGTCCAAACCAGCCCAACAGAGTCAGTAAATGCAGGAGGAAGAAGCCAAGTCGAATCCCTGTGTTGTCGTTAGTGCCTTTTATATGTGAAATTCTGACCACCATGAATACATTAGTGCAGCCAAGAATGCTTGTCATTCAGCTTTGCAGACATTTACTGGGCCTTTAGCACTAGAGTTTAAGAATACCTTTAGCACCATTTATGCTATTACCTCTGGAGACTAAACACTAGAGGGCAATCTCTCTCACTTGCATGTGCTTGCTCTCTTTCACTCTCTCGCTCTTGCACTCACACGCTTACCTTCATTATGGAATATGATTTGGTTGTGGTCAGACTCAGGTTATTCCATTGTCTGTGCCTTTTCTTTTTTTCCTCTCTTCTTGAGAATAGTCCACTTTGCTGTTCAGTCCTTGGCTATTGAAAAAGGTAAAAGTGTACTTTTAAGCAGGCCTGATGAGCATGGGTTTTTCTAACTTGTAGACAAAAATAAAGCAAATTATAGATCAAGTTTTAGACCTACAAGCCTTATCTGTCTACTGTTTAAGCATAAGCAAAAATCCATAAGTTATGGATAAATCGAGATTATTGTGTCTCTATGAGTACTGAGGCAATGAGTGGGACCTGCTACATTCATCCAACGTAATATTTTGAATTTTCTTGAACTATTTGGTACAGACCACTTTTGGAAACTGAATGCAACTGCCAAAGAGCGTTTTAGTTAAGTCTCAGGAACATTCATGTGGGTATATTGTGGCAATTGAATAGTTAGCTTTTAAAACCTAAGCTACTCTTCCTTTATCTTCATTGTCTCAGCAAAGTAGATTTTAATATAAAATGAGTAAAGTAAATCTTCTGACTCATGGCTCTCCAGATTGTTTTAGTTGTTAGAAGCTTGAGTTAATTGATTTCAGTCAGGTGGCCTAATGCACTGACACTTCTAGTTGTGCTGGATTGTAATGCTGGATGCATTGCTAATGTGCTTTAGTGTACTTAACTTGGAGGCAGGAATCTTGAAGCTGTGAAATTTCTACCAGTTTCCATTAAAACAGGCAGACAGGTAGAGAAGATGGACAGTATCTACTTCTCCAGTGAGGGGAAGGCTCCTGAAGTCATCCTTTTTGTGAGTTCTCTGATGTTTAGTAGAGAAGATGCAGGAAACCATTAATTCACAGTTTACGGAAGACTACCGAGTATACTTACTCATTTTAAGTAAATAAAGTTATCAAAAGACTCATTCCTTTTCTGTGTTTTGTCCAGTAATATGTTCTAGCGGATGGATAAAAGAGGCAATTAATGTTTTTGCTTGATGCCTCAGCACTCCCTGTTTAATGTCTAGCCGCAGCGATCAATAAGGAATTCACACTGAGTCCAAATGTACTGTGGTACCAAAAGTATATTGATAATGTGCAGCTCTGAATTTCTTTCTTGTTTAACCCTGGACATTGCTCTCTCTTATTATTTAGTGCCAGTAGATGACTAGTACTTTCTTTTATTTTGAAATGCAGGAGAGAATAAACTAAGGCTGATCAGTAGTAATCATTTTGAGGAGATGATAAACACTGACATTTTGCCCTAAGTCAAGAGTGTACAGTGGTTGAGACTGCATAATCCTCTGGCCTGGGATGACCAAAAGGGTAAGTCAATAGTTGTAGTCTCTAAGGGCTGGATTCAGATTGCTTAATTTGGGACCTGAACAGAATCCAGCATGCAAGTCCCGATCAGCAATGTGGAATGCCTTTCCTCTGCAGCACCATCTGTTTCCAGGCACCTGGAATCACTAGGCAGCCTGTCTGGTTGACCTGAAAATTCTCTGGGCATTTAGAGTGCTATGTACTGTGCATACTCTGAAGGGCCCTAGTCTGAGGAGACGGATGATATAGCTAAATTCTGCCTAAATCTGAATTGCAGCAGAGCTTAAAGACATGATGGATACCTGTATATCAAGAGATGCCTTACCCATAAATATGCGCTCAGCTTGCCTGAGGCATGCTAGCAGTTTTGAATTGGTTTGGAAAAAAAAAAAAAAACATAGCTAGACGTCGTAGCGTTTCCTGCTTTTGCCTAATAGCATTGTGGCTAAAATACTTGCCCAGGGAGTTGAGAAACTTGGCTCTGAGCTCTGTTCAGCCTGAGGTTCATTGAGTCACATCCCAGGAAACTGTATTAGCTATAAAGCTGAAAGTTCATACCATAGCTTACTTGGGCCCCTGGCCACTTCCATGTCATATGCATTTTTGGGGAGGTGGTTGGGGAGTAGGGGATACCTTGTAGCATCTTCCTCCACAAGTATATATGCTACACTAACTGTCTTCTCCTGTGTTGCCAGTAATCA